TCTTTACCTGTTTTCATTGCTTTGCAAAATTGACCAGCAGAAAAGTGAAAAACTGTTCTCCAGTATGAAGGTTTATGTATAGTCCAGTATATATAGGGCAGTCTTTACTGCACTGTTCCATGTTTTATAAATAAATAGGCTAAAAAAAGAAATACAGAAATCATTCTGTATGTGGCATGTTTCTCAGTGGAGCTGAATATCTGAAAATATACGCAACCAGAGATGCAGTGTGCATACAGTACCTTGCTAAGGTTTAACCCCAGCCACTAAACAGTTTAAATCATTGGTGTGACGATCAGAGGGAAGTCAGGTTCCTCTAAAACATAGCCCAGTACTAGCCACTGCAAAGAAAATTGACTCTACTCCAGACAAAACCAGCACCTACCTGTATTAAGTGAGCTGTATTGTGACCCTACTACAATGTGTCTGTAACTCTTTGACCTGGAATTGTTCATGTGCATGTTTAGAGAGGGTAAAGTATATATATCTTAAAACATATTTTTAAAAACCAGTTTGTGATATGTTCTACCTTATAACAGAAAGTACCTTCAGTGATTAGAATGTGATAAGTAATTCTACATCAGTAATGGTTTTAGTGACTACTGCCCCATTGTATGTTCTGAATTTAAGTGTTGTGGGTTTGCCAGAGTAAATGAAAACGGGTGTTCCATGTAATCCAGAAAATCTTAATGTTAAGGATAATTAATCTAAGAAAAGAATGGTACCAAGTTAATGATGCATTGGATTCTAATTGATGAAAAATATCTGAAAATTAATTTCAGTTGATACCAGTTCTAAATGAATGGATAACCGACTTTGTTGTCGATGCGCAGTGTGTATTGGGAGTTGTATTTTTGTCAACATGTACTTCTCAGTGTTGCTTAGTGTCATAAAGATAGCGTTGATGCTTGTTACAAATACCCTGCATTTTGCTGTTCATTAGCAAAACATGCTAATCACATAGTCAAAAGGTGAAGTAATCATTCATTACACGTTTGTATTTTCATTGAATTGAATACTTTTATGAATGACAACGCTGAATGCACTTTTTTTTCAAAATGTACCATTTTTTTCAAAACAGAGAAGTTAGGCTCTGCAAAGGGCTGGGTGGATCACTTTACAGTCTCACTGTCCTCATCTTTTCACATTAAGTTGAAAGGCAGGTGTACATCACTTCCACATTACTGCTTTAGTGTGAATGGTTACTTAAATTACCACAGAGAAATTGTTCTGTTGTTAGTGGTGAGGGGAGAAGTCCATCAAATAATCTGAGGATGTGGTCTATGCACAGAAAGTTTGGGAAGACTAGTGACTACTTACTAACCAGCTCATTACCACTCCCTAAGCACTGAGTATGAACTCAACATGCCATGGTACTGGACTGTGCTTGAGATTCCAGACATAACTGGCTTGGTTTGAAAGTCTGTGAAGTCACATTTAAAAATGGCAAATACCTAATCAATGAGAAGAGGGAAGAGAATGTTTAGTTCAAGGGTACAACATCTAGTTATGGTACAACAGTCTAGATTACAATATTCATGATGAACCTTACCTTACCATTGCTCCAGCTCTGATTGCTACAGCTGTTGGTTGGGAAAGTGGTGGTGGCCAGGGTGAGGGTTTGAGAATTTGACATACAGTGATGCTTGGAGAGAATCCAAACCTTCTTGTTTGGTTTTGAATGTGGCTGTTGTTGGCAGGCTTAACCTTTTGTTGTTAAACTTTCTGTGCGAGCAGGTCATTGTTGTGAATGCATGACTGTCCTAACTCTCGCTTTGTTTTGTCTTAGTCACATTGATCAAACAACAACATGGCAGGATCCTAGGAAGGCCATGCTCTCCCAGATGAATGTTACAGCTCCCACTAGTCCTTCTGTGCAGCAGAACATCATGAACTCAGCATCAGGTAAGCAAAGTCTGTATTTATGAAAAAATCATGCAAATAAAGAAACCACAAGCTATTGTAATTGGGGAAGAAGGAAGAATGTTTAAGAAATGTTCTTTTAGTTATCCTGGTTTAAAACTTAAAGTTTGTTGATGCCTGATGCAGCTGATGCCTGATGCAGCTGATGCAAGCAAGAAGCTGATACTTGAAGTAATAGATTTTTTTATAATATTTATATTTTTATAATATTTGTGCTGTAGTTCTTCGATTTGTGTTTTTATTTTTTAAAATGAATGGTTCAAATTTCTAAAGAAGCAGAATTTTTGTCTACTTTCTTCTACTAAAAATGCTGTTAAATTGATAAAGACCAGCATTTCCATTAAATTAATGTCAATTTACATTAAAGCTTTTGTGCTTCTGCACTGTTCTTCTGCCTCCCCTTACTCACTGACTGGATGTGGTATACTGTCATTTGTTTGCATTTCCTACATTTATTGTGAGCATCTCATTTTTTCCTGTCTTCCCTAAATGGATCAAGCAAACACCTAGAAAATCCTGTGTAGAAGCAGAGATGTTTTGGTTTTCCTCTTGTTTTTCTATTTTTTCCAAAATCCAGTATCATAATGATTATTCCTGTAGCTGAGGAAGTCTGATGTGTTTTCCTGGAATATAGAATTGTTTTTCAGCTGGTGTGGGGGGCCATCACTAAACAGCAGTAAAGTGTTCTTGTGCTTGCAATAGAACCTGCTGTATGTTTTCAGAGCTCTCTTGTCCTTATTATGCAGAGAACACGCAGATAAATTTGGTACCATGCTAGTTTGAATGCTATGGTCTTTCCCTTGCTTTGTCACCTTCTGTCTTGTCACTGAGGTACATGTTATATTTATTTTCTCACAGTCTGATTGTATTTTGTGTATGTCTGCTGTTCCTGTACTTCACAAAGGTTATTCTCTGGTGCTGCTCTCTGTGGTCCGTTTAGAAAGCTTTGTTTCATGCTGCAATTCATGTGCTGCAGACAATACTGAAAGATTAACAGGCGTGACCAAACTATGCTGTTCATGACTGAGTAGTAGAGGGGAAGTTAATCAAACTTTTTGCTGGCTGGGCCAGGAGGCTGGATTATCCTGAAACAAATGAGTCCTGTTCAAGTTCAGGAAGTCGTGATTCACAGCAATTAAGGTCTCAGGCTCTTGTATGAAAATAAAATAGCTTGATTATTTTTTCTGTAAATTTATCCCAGGAAACCTGCAGCTATAGAGATGAGATGTTTTTGCAGGGACACTTCTGAATAACAGAGAACAGGAGAAAGGAAACAATTCCCTTGGTCTGTCTTGCTTTTTGGCTTATCTTGTTTGTGCTAATACAAGGTGCTTGCTGTTTCAATATTAATATAAATTCTGTATTTTCAGATAATTCCTCAAACATTCAGTTGTACCAAGAATTAACAGGAAAAAATACTAATAGTAAAATAGGATTAATTTTATGTACTTAGATAGAAAGGAAGAGTCCTTAGCAAAAACATTACCTTTAATTTTAACAAAGCAACAAACTAGAAGAGAACCTAGCAATCAGCACGCAAGGATTATATTTAAAAGAAAATAAAGAATTTGCATGTAATAACCTGATGTGTGTGAGTGAGCGGTGCCACACAGATATTGTTGCTCATGCAATAAAAAACAGTTCAGATGTTTAAGTGATTTGGGATTGTCTTGTGATTTGGGAAAGCACTTATTTAAATACAAGGTTATTGAACATTTATTTTTAATTTCACAGATGATACTGTGTTGACTATCAGCTGAAAATCATGTAAAGTTTTTTTCCGCCAGTGCTCTGAACTTCATAAAATGCATGAAGAACTCAGAATTTCTCTGTATACTGAGTTACATGTTTACATGGTGTTAGGGTTTTTATAAGCTTGAATCAGTTGAGGTACTGTGACTTGGAACTGGCTCTTTGGATACACCTGCTTACCCTTAACTTATTTGCTCTTAACAAAAGTCTTCTTTGAATTAAATAATGATGAACCTGCATTTATTGGTTATGATTCTTCTTCTGATACCTGATTTGGCAAATGTTTATGTACTCGCTTTAAATTATGACTGTGTAATTATTTTTCCTAAAGTCTCTTATATCTATTTTTGGTATTTTTGACTACTGAGTTCAAGGTAGCTTGTGCTTCCGTGGTGGCCTCTTAAAAACTCTTTGAGAGAAAGGGAAAAATCAAGTAACTCTTGTACCGCTTCAGCATAGTGGACCTTAAATCTTAGTGCCAGTGTCGTGGCTATAAGATTACCTAGCGTTCTAATTTGGATATTCATCCTCAAGAACTGGGAAATAAAGTTGAGACCTTTAAGACAGAAGTTTCCTGTTATGAAATATTGCTGGCAATGAAACATGCCCTAGTGCTATGAGAGCCTTTCATGAAAGATATTGGGAAAAAACGAGTGTAAGTATTGTGACAGCTGGAGGTCACTGGCTTGCAAAAATATGTCTGAAATGCCACAAGGGAGAATGTTTTGCTTTCTGTATAGACCTTGTATAGTGTTCATGAATTGTAACCCTTAATCAAAGTTACTGTCCAAGTTTTAGTGTACTGCCATAGGAGCTTGTGAGTAAAGTTACTGTGATAAAACGCAGGAGAGATTTTTGGGAGCTGTCTCAAAAGTCTTCAGGAACTTTAACTGTTTAGCCGGAATTAGAATTCTCGTCATTAGCTAGGATTAAGAACAGGAAAACAAACACAAGAGGCAGAGAGAGGAGACCTGAAAGCTGCTGTGTGCATACTGGAGATAAACTTGTTGTCTTTTTGGATAAATAGGGAAAGCAGAACTCAGAGAAAATGGGAAGAAAGCATAACTAGGTAAGGGTAAGGGCAAGTCAAAAGGTTGTTTAAAATATAAAAATGGGCAAGATGTAGTTTAGCATGAGGTTGAAATTTTTCGGTTGTCTTAGGAAATTCCATCTCTTCACGCACCTAAGACTGGATGAGAACCCAGGTATCTTTCTGCACATAATGGTTGTTTGAGGAAGTTAAGAGACATCTGAACCAGCTTTATCTGTTCCTGGCATGATTTTGTGAATTAATTATTTTTTGAGTGCTACTTAGCATGCTACCTTTACGGGAAGAATAAAAAGTGTGAAGTGAGGTGTTTTTTTCTTGCTGATCTTGCTACACATAATCAACTAAATTTATTTGGGCCGTATGTAAGCAGCCCAGTGCTGTTTTAGATGTCATTTGTTAGTTAATCTTCTGTGAAATACATCTTTACATCAATAGTGGGAAGGAAACAAACCTGTTACATGTAAATATCCCACATGTATATAAAAATCATTTGTCACTGTTCTGATTTTTTGTGTTGTTTCTAACCATTTTTCCCTAAAGGTATTACAGAAGAAACTGTGTTCTTCTGTCTTCATTTAAATCAAACAAAAAAGTAGTAATAATGGTACATTGTTCTTCTGAGGAATATCTCCTATACATCTCTTACTGAGGTAAAACTATACATTTGAAAAGAAACAGTGGCTGTTTCTTACAGAATTGCAGTTGATATCACAGATATGGGATAGTAATTGTAATCATATACTTTTGTTCTTCAGATACTTTTACTTCCTGAATCATGCTTGACAGCACTGCTTACTTTAACCTCTTCCGCTTGCGCATAGACCTTAGATAATTAGCTTTGGAGCAGATTACTTGTCTTTGTCCTCTTTTGTCTTCACTCTTAAGTGGCAGATTTAAACTGGGTTTCCCAGTGAGAGTTTATAGACCTAGTGCGATTCCTTTGTCTCTTAAGGTAAGGCTGTAGTGCCATGTTGAAGGTTGGTAAGAAAATGAACACTAAATTCATAACTCTTGGGTGACAGGAGGGTAGGAAGGAATGTGACAGTAAAGAAAACGAGTTCTAGCTCTTCTCTTAGGTTCTTGCTCACTTCAATTATATGTTTTTCCTCTGCAAAACCAGTCTTACTAAAAATTCTGCTTTGTTTGAAGTCAACGCTATATATGGTGTGCTGTGAAAATCAAGTTTCTAAGTATCTGCGTGGCAGTAGTGTTCATTGCTTTCTTCATCTGCAAAAAACACCCCTTTTTAAATGGTGTCCATTTGTAATTTTTACTAATTTGACATGGTAAAGATATACTCTAGGTAAATTTTGTAGACTTTGCTATAATTTTTAAAAGTTTGGGAATCACAGTGTCAGCGCATGAAGGGAAAAATTTCAACTTTCACAGAAAAAAATTAGGGAATTTCTTGGAGATCAGTGTTTGTATTAGATGAGGTGATTTCTGTTGCTGAATATAGATGTTCTAGTTCCTAGGTTGTCTGTGCATATTCTTTTAGTATACAGATACAGCTGCTCTCTAATATGCGTTGACCTTTTGATAAAATATGGCTTTATTTACATTTATTTTACCATTAAATCTAAGAAACTCTAGGGACTTGCAAGACTCCCTGTGTATCCAAATATAGCTTGAATCTCTACTGCATTTTTTCTTCTGTTACTCTTCCCCTCATTCTCCACCAGCAGCAAACTCTACTTTGCATTCCATGTTCTATGGCATATGAGGAAGTAAAAAAAATCTCACAAAATGTGTAGACATGCACCAAAGAGACATGTACACAGGCTTTTAAAATTATGTTATTTACGTTGTTACACCATTATATGAAAATTTAGTTACAGAGGTATGCCTTATCAGTAGTTATGTACAGATGGCTTACAGCTGGAAAGTAGAAGTTTTTTTTTTTGTAACTTTGTCTTAAAGAGTACCACAGTGCAGGGTGAGTTGCCTAGAAGGGTTGTCTCTCCTTGTGCAAGTAATCTCATAGAATTGTAAACTTAGGTGCTTTGACGTATTGTTTGTGCTAAAGGTTTGCAAAAGTTTGAGGGCAGGCTGGAAAAGTACTTGAGAGAGTTTGGTACCTAGTGAGCAGACAGAATAACTCAAGGAATAACTTGAGATAGACTCATAGAATGTCCTGAGTTTAGAAGGGACCCACAAGGATCATCGAAGTCCAGCTCCTGGCCCTGCACAGGAATGTCCCAAGAATCACACCGTATGCCCAAGAGCGTTTTGCAAATGCTTCTTGAACTCTGGTTGACTTTGTGCTTCGACCACTTCCCTGGGGAGCCTGTTACAGTGCCGAGCATACTTGGAGGCCAAGGGACTATTCATAGCCTCTTTAGCTTTTAGGTCTATGTGTGAATTCAGTGCTGTATTTAAAAGTTTATAGAGTATGACACTCACTAAATGGGCTGTTTACATCGACAAGATCTGTCCATCACACCAGGCTAGATGTCTGGACTAAATGGGCTTTTGGTTGGACCCATCTGTTTCTGTACCGCATGGGCTACAGTTGCTGTGGGAATTTAGTGAGAAGGTCTGAAGAACAGCAATATAGGGCTTAGATAATTGAGGTCACAAAAGCTAGAGATGGAAAATTCTGTTCATATTGAGCCTTTTGGGTGAAAAGTGACGTGTAATTGCAAAGGAATTTTCCTAGATGCTCTGGATGAATGTGCCTGCTATTCCTCAGCATGATTTTCTGCCTTTCCTCTGGTACTTGCCTCTAATACAGTTTGTCAGACAACCAGTTAGAAAATTAGACTTGTCTTCTAGTTTCACAGTTACTCACAAAACCAAACAGGAATTACAGAAAGCAATACTAATCAATTTTTGAACAACCATTTCAACATGTAAGAATGACAGCAGAAATATGAGAGCAGTTTGTTGTCCAAGAAAAAAAGCAATGTTATTAATGCCAGAAGTTTATATAGAGAAAAGTTGTGTTTCTGCAGTCACTGATGGCACTTAGCAAGGAAGGTTTTCTGCTGTGACAGCCAGTTGAGCAGATGGACCTTTCCTGTCCTGTTCCACAGCTATGCATTTTATTTGGTAGAAGAGCCTTCCCCAGGTTTGTCTCTAGTAAGCTAGTACTCATCAGATCACTGAATCTCCCAAGTGTATTATTGTTCCCAGGTAGGTGGACTGATCAGCTCCTGGCAACCTGCTTCAAAGGCATTTTGTTCTTATTTGTCATAAAGGGACATGCTGGACCAGTAGTGACTTCAGTGTTCAGCAGGACTGACACCCCAGGGCTGGTTTTGTTTTACCTGGAGTCAGATGGAGGATTTTTTGGCTTTGCAGTTCAAAGGAGGATTTCTTGCTGAGTTTCTCCAAGGGATGTGTGGCTTAGATGGATTCTGAGGAGAATGGTAGTGAGGTCTGCCACATGGCTTGTGTGTTGGCTTAGCAGTTAAGGAGTGGTTTTGGTTCTTCATTGGCTTCTACACTTGGATGATGGGGGCCATGTCACTGTGCTCCTGTGCCCCAGTTTTATAAAATAGCATCTCGGTGATTATCTGGCTGGTCTTTGGGTATAACAGAACACAGGGTTCTTTGCACTGGAGCTTTCAATTCTGCATCAAAGTCCTTTTGTACAGTGAATATGTTAGGATTTAAGAATGATTTGCAGTATTTTCATTCTTTCTTGCCTGTTCTGTTCACTAGCTTCTAATAAAAGCTGAGGTTCTTGTTACTTGTATGCAACATTTAAAGTTTATGAGCATTAGGGATGAGAAGGAAATGTCCAGTTTTCACTGTTTTCCTTACTTGAAAACCTGTAGCTCTAATGGTGGACTAGTGAAGGGCGTTCTTTTCTGAACCAAAATGGAAGTTTAAATTAGAAATGTAGTTTGAAAGGGATCTTCAAAGACCACAAGACACTCTTGTCTTGGTTATGCCTTGAGATATTACTGGAATGCAATCAAATTTTTGTTTTACTCTTTTTGATATTTCTCCAAGAACATCTTTTGAGATTAAGCAAACAAATCTATCCTGCTCCCCAGCCCCCTCCCCGCTTTAGACTGAATTTTTCAGCAGGAGCATGACTTCAGGGCAAAATGACAGTCAAGAGCTAATATAGTTTGAAGGTGGATATAGTAGGTATTTATCAGATTTTTATTTATCAGATATATTTTTGTGTGTATATCTGAATCTCGTGTGAAATTATGATGTTTGTGCATACTTAGTGTATCTTGTATTATACAGAATAGTCTGTTAGTCCAAGTCTAACAGCCAGCTGGCTTTTGGTAGTGTATTACTGTATTGTTCTGAGGAAGAGTGGAAGGAGAGTTTTTATTAGGATGGCTTGCTGCTGCAGCAGGTTTTGTTCTAATTACTTTTCTGTTCTTAACATTGTAGTGGATCTTTTGTTATATAATTTTAGGATTGCACTTAAATCTAAAATACAGAGAAGATATTCCTGTATCTGATTTAACTATTTTTAAAGTTGTGTCTGTGTGAGAACAAGAATTCAAAACCACATATTTTTAAAGCACCTGCCAGATAAGATGAGATGAATATAACTTTGAGAATAGTTTTCAGTCTAAGCAAAATACAGATGAATGTACTTAAAGAGATGAGAATGAGTGGTTTAAGAACTGTGTAGGAATGAAAGGTGGTTTCTTGAAAGCTGCTGATTAGAACATAAGAGGAGCACTCCTCAGGCTCTGTGTTCAGATGTTAGCTGTGAACTCTACAAAACCGTCACTTACCTCTCTTTCACCATTTTCTAAAAGCAGTTTTCCTGTGTGTGCCCTTCTGCTCGTAGAGGTGTGTAGCACTGCTGTTCGTAGCACTGTCTCTCTGGCTGCTCATGGTGTTTTCTTACCTTTGCTTTGTCATTGCTTGTTTGTCTGCCTTGTTCTTCAGGTTTGCATTTTTGCCTACTTAAGCCTTTCAGGTTTTCACAGAAAGTTATGAGGTAAAGGGGAAATGAGTTTTGTTACTTTTTTTTAAAATTGTTCATGAAAGAGGAATATTTCAGAATCTCCTCAATGTTATCTTGCTGCTGCTGCTGTGCCATAATCACTAGATGAACTTTCCTATGAGAAGTAGAATATGTTTATGCTTCTTTCTCTTGGTGCTCATGCTGGTTTCATTCTGGCAGGCTTGACTTATTGCTGGTTTTATACTATAATGCTATATCAAAAGGAAGTGTCAAAAGCATATGAAAGGATGCAAACAAGTTTTAAAATTAAACTCCAAATTCTAAATCAAAATGATAGAAGTGTTTTTTGTTCTTTGATTTCCCACCCAGCACTTCTTTGCCCTTATCCCAGAAATGTTAGCCATGAGCTTGAAACTCTTCTGTTTCATGTACTGTTATATATGTAAAATGTTGAAATTTTTTTTAGATCAATTTCAGTTGGAGCAAACAAGAGCCCGCCATCAACTCCTTCCTTCTATATTTCAGGCCCACTCCCCGATGGATGGGAACAAGCTATGACCCAGGATGGAGAAATTTACTACATAAACCATAAGAACAAGACCACATCTTGGCTAGACCCAAGGCTTGACCCACGCTTTGGTAAAAGTTCATCTCGATTCAGAATTATTGATTTGCTTCAGTTCGCTCAGCTTTAATTTTGCAGGCATATTTTCAAAACTTCATAGTACGATTAAAATATATTTAATTTGAGTTATGGAGACCTTATTTAAATAATTTTTTTTTTTTTAAGATAAAAACTATAAGTATATGTCTTCAGGACTGTATGTTACCCAAGTTTCTAATGCTACGGGTTGGTATTTTGCCATGTGATCCATACAGTTCCCAAAAGTGGTGACATTCAGAAATTACTTATTTAGAGACAGGTTCAGCCAAGCTCACTCTTCCCCTTAAAAGTGCAAAACTTTACTACAGAAGAACCTTCTAATTCCCAAATATTTGCTTTCCTTTGTGCTATCTTAAGAGGGCATTGTCAAATAATAATTTATTTGTTGTTTAAATTCACTTGAAATATATACCAGCTTATAATTCCAGCTTGTCACAGTGATGATCATAACAAAACCTTCTGTTTTAAACAGTATGGTGAGAAATTCAATTAGTTTTGTTGTTTCTACTTTAGTAATCTTTTTGTGGGCTTAAGACTATGTAATATTGGAAATAGAAATAGTAAATTAAGTGAAGGATGATAAAGTCTAGATGTAGAAATTTAAAGAAACAGAACTTTAATTTTTTCAGTAGTGTTTTTGATCTGTATGAACAGCAGAACTGCAAACTTTCAGTAAAGTGTTGGCACCGATGGCTGTGAAAAGCAATTGTGTATAATATGAAGACTATAAACTTGTTTCTTAGATTGTCCAAGTGAGGTATTTAAAGTGGCATTACAATTTCTATTTTTGTATAAAGCCATTACCTGTGTGTGTAAGCCCTATTAGCTGTATTAATTTTCCCTTGATTTGTTTTCCCAATAACTTACTATTTTCAACTCCTTTGAATTTTAGTTATTTTTCCAGAGACATGGAAAAACAGTGGGGGGGGGGGGAAGGAAGATATCATTGTGGTTTTCAGGCTTTACTTTTGGACTCAGTGCAGCCAAATGAAAACAGCGTGCAGATCACTGAGTAGGTCAGGCTGAGGGGATACAAAACCTTTGAAGCTTTACAGGGGTTGACCTAACAACAACTATGGGCCCCTTTTGGGAGAGGCATTAACTCCATGAATGCCATATAAATACAGAGGTACAAAACTCAACAGGCACTGTTCTGTTTTGTCTTCTGAATTGACTGTTAGAAATTCCTGCATTTTTTTGTTTGTAGACTTGAGTGTGTACTTAAAACATCCATTTGCTCTTAGGGAGAACAGCAGATTGTCACACTTTGTTTATAAACTGCTCACCAGTTTGTAGAGAGGTTGAACCACTGTGCAACTTGAGCCCAAAGGTGGGGCGTCAACTTTGGCAAATGTCCATACTGGCTTTAACACCAGCCCGAACTACAGACCTGTTTGCGTGTTGCAAGAGGAGTGTGTGGGTAATTTGCAACTTCGTAATTACTTAATATGTGAATAAGGCTGGAAAGGAAGCAGTCATTTTGAAAATCAGCGTTGCCTTTTGCAGTCAATTATATTTACTCAGGTAATCTTGCAGGGTATCTATTTTTCTTTACATGTATTACTTTATAGTTTCCAGTGATGAGCTGGAATTAAAAAGGAGTGTATAAAAGGCCTTGATAGGCAGAAGTCATGAGTGAGATGAATCTTGCTTTTCAGAACTGTTTTGTACTCCTGTAAATAAAGTAGTCTAACTGTAAGGGCAAAAGCTACTTGTCTCGTGCATACTGAAACGCCATTAAATGTTAAGGCTGTGCAGTTAAACTGAAAGAAGTTAGAAATGTCCAAAAGACTGATTAAGGGTTTCTTGCTGCATAGCTTCCCTTTTTGGGCCCACTGCGTATGTGTATCCCAGACAGGCTTGAGTACATGCCAAGGCTCTTTATTTTGTGGTCGGACTTTTAATCTGTTCCAGACCTTTTCAGTCAAAGAGCTCAAGTGTAACTGAAAGGGGCAGGAAAGGAGAAAAAAAAGCATGTGGGCTCTTCTGATCTAGAGTGACAGCAAATAGAGACAAGCTGCTAGCTGCTGTTGAGCTTGAAGGAGTTTTCCTTGAAAATTTAAGTTGTACACATTGTGTTGTGGTTTATGTTTTTATCATTTGAGCCGAGAAAATACAAAATCTTATGCCTGTTGCTTTCTCACTTGTGACGTCCTTAAGTCTCTCTAGTCATAAAGCAAAAAAAAATCTCTTTGACAGAGTTAACTTACTGGGCCTTGTATTTATTTATCATGTGGAGATCCTTGACAAATATGTGCTGTGACACTAAATAGCATGTGAATGACTCAGAAGTTTACCTTTCTGTGCTTAATATAGGTTGAAACTCCCGTTGGGTTTTTTGCCTCCTTTTCTATCACTGTGTTGTAATGTAAGGGCTTGGTTTTTGCTATATTTTGGCTAATAACACTTTCAGAAGCAGAGTGAATTCATCTTTGTCATGTTGAAGCTTTTGGTTATTACAGTGATACTAATGTTGATTGAAAATGAAGGAGAAATTAATTTCTTCCTTGATACTGACACTTTCACCAATCTTAAGAACCACTGAAGAAAACAAAGCTATTGAATGGCATGTGCAAACATACTCTTCTGTTCTAGTATTCAAAATCAGAAGGTATGAAGAGTCTTTGCTTATATTGCTTCTGAATTTCCCACTTCCAGGGAGACAACCTTTAGATCTCTGTATGTTCCTCATCAGATGGAAACTATGCATTCATCTTTATTTTCTCTAGCAAGTGTGCATACACCTCTTTTTCAAATAGTGCTCAGAACTTCCCATTATTGTGGCTCAAAAAGAGAGAAGAAGGAGGATCAGTTTGAAAAAAATTATTTTAGATGGAGTGACTGACTTGGTAAGATGAATTTTGGTATTGCATTCATGCTTTTAAACAGAAAAGATTTTAGTTAATATGGATACATTCTTGGAGCAGGCATTTAGAAATAATGTATCAGATAAGAGTCCCTGTCAGAATACCCAGCTGTGGAGTAGGCTAGGTCTAAAATCTGAGCTGAAGATAAGAACTTCTTTCCAAGACTCAGTTCTAACATCTTTGAAATGAGATTGAGGTCTTCAGCTACACCACGAATGGCAGTGAAGTCTCGTGGCTCAGACGTTTGTCCTCCAACTGTATGAATATGGCTTTAAAGCAATTTTGCGTTAGGAGAATTGATGAACTTTAAAATCTGGGAGAGAACTGAGTATGAAAGGAGGGTCTTCTCATGCCACGCACAGGCAGTCATACAAGGTGACATGGGATCAAAAAAATGGGAATGGAGGGGAGTGGGGGGGTGGTCCTTAGGCCTGTGTTGGTAGGATTCTTGTCTAGCATCTGGTACAAAAATGCTATCCTACCTTCTCAGTGCCTTTAGAGGCCTCATAGTAAGGGGCTTCAAATGGCCTTTTTTTAAAATGTGTAAGGTGTTTTTTTTTTCATTAAGGTAATTGGACTATCAGGTGGAGCTTGTGTTTTGGACTGTTTTGTCATTTCTGCTGTTGTTCATTGGTCATTCTTCACAGATCCTCCTGGATTTTTAAGCCTTCCAGATAAACTTAATGCATTTTCTTGATAATGGAAGAACATCTGGGTAGGAAGCAGGTCAGCTATGCATTCTGCGTGGCTGGAGTTGGTGAAGTAGAACATCTGCTTTTTCTATAAAATTAAATTTCCTAGTACCAATTGAAGTTTGAATCGTTCAACTTTATTGCTACAAGTTTCCAAGAACTGGCTTTTGTGTCAAATGCCATTGAAGGGATTTTAACTGTTATTTAAGTTAGCAGATGATAGGTTTTGGCTTTAAGATCCAAACTTAAAATAATTTGCCTTTTGAGGATACTTAATTTGTTAAATTCAAAGGTGGAATAGTGAACTTGAAGTGGGAAAATTCTGGAAACTGGCAGTTCATTTCAGTGTCAGTTGGGTTAAGTCTGGTTTAGAAACAGTAAGTACTCCATTAGAGTAGTCAGACAAGTGTCTGCAAGGATTGGAGTAAAGCAAGATACTATTTCAGTTTCCTTGTTATTTTATTCCAGACTTCGGTTTTAAAGGTCTGTAAGTAGTGATCATACCGGTATTACACACACCCAGTCTTCTTCCTCCTGTTCTTTCAATTGTTGGGAGGTACAATATGGGGTATGCAGTAAAAGATGTGACCTCAGGTTGAAATCATGGCCACGACTCACTCTCTCACTCCGTCTTAGAGATTATGTTAATGTTCTTTGAAGTTCTGCATGAATTTTGAATGAGGGGGAAGGTATGGCAAGTCACTGTTAATATTATTATGGAAAGTGCCATAGGGGCTCTGTCTACAGTAGGTGCTTGAACTGCACAAGTAGGAAATGGAATAAAACTGATGATGACAGTAGGAATATAGAGAACGCACATCAGGATTTTCCGCTTCCTTTTTTGTGTAATGTAAAAACATTACACCTTTGAAACAATGAAATGGACTTTATTTCAATGAAATGTACATGTAATTGAAACATGTATTTATCATTTCTATTTTTAAAAAAAGCAAGCAAACACACAGCAAGCTTGTAATTCACTTAAAAGCTTAAACTTCAGAGCATCTGCTACTTTTTAAGTATCAAAATTAAAAGGAAGTATTCCATAGTGTTTCTTTCTTATCCCTTTCCTGCCTAACTCTTTGTTTAATGTATGTTTCTTCAAATTGGTTTGTAGGAGCCTTTCCAGATGCAGATTTGTGGACAAGATAGAATGGGAACCCTAGACTGGAAAACTGGTTTTTGGCCTTTGTCTAGTCAAAAAACAAAACAAAACAAAACCAACCAGACCTTGTGTCTGGTCATAGTAACGTTTCAGACTTTTTAAGTTCCAGATCTGCCTTCCATTTTTGCACAAAAAAACAGAGTATGAGACACAAGTGTTTTTGATCTGCAAATGCAATGACATATCCTCTTTATATACTCCTTAAAACAAGAGGATTTGACTCATCTAAAAGGTCTAGTGGTATTAGATTT